GTGAGTGATGCTGGGGCTGTGGGGGTGGGGCTGCCTCTTCCCTGGCCCCTCACTGCTCCGTGGGCCGGCCCACAGTTGCCCTAGTTACGCAAAGCCCTGCCTGCCCTTCCTGCAGGGGTCCGACTTTACAAAGCCTGCGACCAGAGGGGCAAGACCAAAGGACACGCTGAATGAGCCAGTGTCTAAAGGAGACGTATGTAACCGCAGGCGATGTCCCCGAGGCTGACAATAAAGCAAGCGGGGAGATAAAGATCACACCTAAGAAATAAAACTGAAGAGCTGAGATCACAGACACTCTGGAGGTAAAAGCTTTCTCCGCTTAACTACATCCATAAACTGAGTTTTATCACCAGCCTGCCTTTGCCGCTGTTTCCGAACGTCTTCGAGGAATGCAGCTTTATCGATTCTGCCAGGAGGCATCACTTTCTGCGTCTCACGTCGCCACGAGTGCATCACGTGAGCTGCAAAAGGTGTTTGTCCCCAAATGCTGACCCACAGAAGCAAGGACAGAAGGAGCAACGGCGCGCGGGCCGGTGCGCTGGGGCGCAGTCTGCCCCGTGGGGCGCCCGCGGCCCTTCCTGCACAAACCACACCCGTGGGGCGCGTCTAACCGCCCGTTTCTGTGTTTTTAGAGCAGAGCTGAAATTTAAAGCAGTGCGTGTGCCCACACCCCCTAGAATTTTCCCAGTTTGTATCGCAACCCACATCTAAATGACAGCGTCTGTTCAGTGACCCTCTTTGCCTGAACCTTGCCCAAGTCCTCGATTTTGTTGTAATAGACGTAATTCCCGTTGAGCTCACATGTCATTGGTTTATGTAAATCCGAATACCGCTGGTATACACTGGTTTGGGGACAGACACAACTGTCTCTTGGGAAGCTCCTGACCCGACTGCTAGAATGTGACCCGCAGGGGCTCCAGCGGGGACCGTGCTGTGGGCAGAGGCGGCGTGGCTACCGGCCGGGGGGCTCATCTCAGGCCACTTAGGAGCTGTAACTGCGCGCACAGGGCCTTACCTGCCGTAGCACCATTTGCAGAGGCAGAAGCCAAACCACACATCGAAACCAGAAACAACTCGAGCATCCGCAAAAAACGGAAATAATCTGTCCCATCTCTGCGAGGGTGCAATGCAGACAGGAAGACATCTCTCTCGCCCAGCTGGTGTGGCTCAGTCGGTTCAGCGTCCTGTGCACCAAGAGGTTGCCGGTTCGATTCCGGGTCAGGGCACATGCCCGGGTTTCGGGTTTGGTTCCTGCTTCGGGCACGTACGGAAGGCAACCGATGGACGTTTCCCTCATTGATGTTTCTCTCTCTCTCCGCCTCTCCCTTCTTCTCTAAAATCAATTAAAAATATATATATTTTAAAAATATATCTTTATTGATTTCAGAGAGAGGAAAGGAGAGGGAGAGAGAGAGACAGAAACATCAATGATGGGAGAGTCATTGATCGAGCCCGCAACCCGGGCCTGTGCCCTGACCGGGAATCGAACCCCGATCGCCTGGATCCCAGGTCGACGCTCAACCGCTGAGCCACGCCCGGCCGGGCAAAAATATACTTTTTAAAAGCTCTCTAAATATTGACCTAAAGGGCAATACGTGACAGTTTCAGGTTATAAGATCAAATTGCAGAAATAACTGCAGTGTGATCACATTTTGACATGGAAGGGCCCCCGCAGGTTCCTCAGGAAAACGGGCTGCGAGAAGGGAGGCTGTTACCGTTTTCTTTGCCTATCTCGGTATGTTACTTGTTTTGGTGATATTATATTACTCCTTTAATTAAAGAGTCTAATGAAATGAAGTCAGGAAATTAAAGCCAATTACATCTCGACAAAGCTGGAAAAAACAAAGGATAACTTTTTTTAATTAAAAAGAGTTTCTCAGGCATCCTTCTGAGCAACTCGGTTCCAGGTTCCACCCCACGGTGCAACCATGACCCCCCTGGGCCATCCCACGTCTAGGTCGCACCTGTGTGGCCGGCCTGGCCCAGCCTCTGACTCGCGTGGCCACCATGCTTTTAAAAAACTGATGAGAGAGAGAGAAGGGAGAGGGGGAGAGAGAAACACTGACGAGAGAGTGAAACATCGATCGGCTGCCTCCTGCACGCCCCCGACTGGGGATCGAGCCCACAACCAAGCATGTGCCCTGATGGGGAATCGAACAGGCGACCTCCAGGTGCATGGGACGCCGCCCAACCAACCGGGCCACACCGGCCAGGCCACCACCATGCCTTTTCAAATCCCAGTCACACACCCTGTCAGCGGCCCAGGGAGGACAGCAGGGCATGAATCGTCCTTTTAGAGCAGAGGAACTGAGACAAACAGGCAACGATGTGCCCAAGGTCATGGTCCCACACAGGGCCACAGTCATACGCCACCATTTCTCCCCTGCGTCCCTGGGGCTCTGCAGGTTAACAGTGTGACCAGGGCCTTAGAGGGACCGCAGCAGAGCCTTGCCTGTCCCATAGCCCTTGTTCACAAAGGGAGAGGGACTCACCAGCAGGAACCTCACCGATTTCGACTGCTGGGCCAGGGGCTCAGGAAACGAACCCACAAAGTCCTTAGTGATGAAAAGAGCTGGGGTCCTGACAGCAGCTGTTGCAATTATAACAACAGGCAACCCTGTATGTCCGAGTGCTGCTTTATGACGGACGAAGGGCACCGGGGACGCGGCATTCAAGGTCATCACTGCCACGTCCCGATAGCAGACTGACATTTCCAACACATAAAAGTCAGTGCTCGCCAGGCAGCCAGTTCGAGCCACATCACAGGTGGGGAGACAGGTTCAGGGAGGGTCGGGGACATGACCGGAGTCACCCGCTTCATAGGAGGGGAGGGATTCCCACCCAGGCGTGACTGACTTCAGACCCAGGGTTTCAGGCCTGCTCACAGTCCCCGGGGCAGAGTGACAGAAGGACCTGCTCTAAGTGCATCTGCTACTGTGGCCACGACAGGCTTCCTTCCTGGTTAGCCGTCAATCTCCATTTTCACGCTTGAGCCCAGGGCATGCGAACAAACTTTCCGCATTTACAGCCCTTCGGCTCTGTGAGCTCTGGTCAGGCGGGTGTGATGTTTACAGATCAACAGTAAAACCTGCCGAGGGGAGGAGGGCCCCAGTACTTAACCTTCCTTCACACAGCCCGCTGGGGAAAATCGGCGAGGCCACAGGGCTTAATTTAGACACCTCTCGGAACCGGGACCCCTCGAAAAGGCCAGCCGTGACAGCCGCGGGGACTGGCACCACGACAAAGGCCGCACACCACGTGCAACCAGAAGCGATGCATTTTTAATGTCTTGGTCACGACGCTCCCCGGCCCTGTGTGTCAATTAGCAGACGTACTGCCACCGGGTGGACATGGAGGAACAAATAAAACGGGAGACCACCAGAGTGACTCTTTCTTTTGTGAGATGCAGAAAATACTGCGGAGGAGGCAGGGTCTTGAAGGGGGGACAGGAGGAAGAGAGGAGAGGGAGGGAGGAGAGGGGGAGGGACAGAGAGTAAAAGGGACAGAGAAAGAGAGAGACAGAGTCACAGAGACAGAGAACAAAGACAGAGACACACACAGAGAGAGAACTCCTACCCGCAGCATCAAACACCATCTCCCCATCGAGTCCTCTATTGCACTGACCTTAGGGGAAACCTACTGAGCAGTGGGCCGCGCCCCGTAATGCTGAAATAACACAGCGCCTTCTTTAGTTACTGCGCGTTTTTAAACGTGTATGAACGAGTGTGTGACCCCGGTTCCTGGCCTCTTTGCTCCCCCCACGGGAGCAGCAGTTTTTCCTGTAAGGCCCTGGCCCGAGGGCTGAAGTACGGCCGGCCAGGCGCCTGCTGCTGGGCACCAGCTCAGGGTCAACCAGCACATCCACAGGGCACAGACGAGCAGTTTCTTCATTTGAGAGGAACTCATCTTCTCAACAACCTTCCTGCGTTAAAAGGGAATCTGAAGGCTTCGGAAGGAGCCGAGCCCTGGAGGGGGCCCCGGGGGTGTCTGGACTACAGGACTGTCAGTGCGATTCCTCAGGGGCACACAGTGAGGCGGCAGGACTCTGTCAGCGAGAAACTCCAGCAACGCCTTAAGTAAACACACCGATGGCACCAAATGCAAATTCCCCGTCTTTCAGAGGACGGCATGCGGTGACCTCCACGGGTCTGCAAGCACCGGGGCCATCAGGACGCACTGTCCTCGGGGCTTCCGGCTGGCAGCCAGGATGTCCCCCACCACGTGGGTTTGCACCTGGCCGGAGGGCCACTCACCATGCGCAGGATGTCGGAGGAGACCATCTGCATACAGCACATGGCGGTGGCCAAGGCGCAGACGATGGTGGACAGCACATTGAGGGCGCACACGCTGAAGAGCAGGTCCTGCGGGGGGAGACAGGACAAGGTCAGCCTCACCGTGGCAGCCTCGGTGGCGGGGCCTCGGCATTTCCGTCAAGTCCAGGATCAGTCTGCCAACTGCCTCTGGTTCCCGGAGGTTCTCTTTTGTGGTTTTTGTTCTGTTTATCTGCCTATGAACTGAAGCCTCTGTAGAAACCCAAGGACAAGGTCAGAGAGCTTCAGGTAGACGCACATGGGACACTGGGGGGCGTGGCTGCCTGGAGAGGGCACCGAAGCCCCACCCACTTCCCATAGCCCCGCCCCCATGCCCAGCCCCATGCAGCTCTTCCATCTGGCTGTTCCTGAGTTATATCCTTTATTTAAAAAAAACCAAAACAAACACCCAGTAATCTAGTAAGTAAAACAAAACCAAAAAAGCAAAAAAAAAAAAAACTGGTCCACCTATGGACCCGTTCCTTTCTTTTCCTGCAGTGCCCATCGAATTATTTATTCTTAGGCGCTAAGAAGTTTGAGAGCCCTGGATGCGTTCCAGAGCCTATTCCTTTGTCATATGTATGGTTTGCAAACATCCTCCCCAGTCTCAAGCTTGTCACCTCCACCCCCTTCGCATAGGTTTCACAGAACAAAAGCTTTTAATTTAAGTCCACGAGGTCCAGCTTACTACGCCCTTCTGAAATGCACGTTAATTTTGTATGTACTCTCATCTGCACCCAGATAAAACTCCCCGCAGAAAATAAACCCAAATCCGAACGCTTTGATTGGATGGGCACAGCGAGGCCGACGCTGCTTTGAGTCTCACGGGGTGTGATCAGTTCAAACAAATGCCAAAGAGACGTCATTTCCCGCCTCCTTTCTGCAGCTGTTCAAATGCTTGGCTTTTTTCTAGCTAACTATACACCGCCTGGAATTTCTTCAGAATTCTGCTACTGGCTTAAAAAAATGCCTTTATCTCTGCCTTACGACAGCTCGACCAGACAGTCCCCGACCAGCCCTGACACCCACATGGTATAAAATCTCCACAGGGTCCATCCAAACAGCAGGTGGGAAGACAAGGCAGGCCTGTTACTGTGGCCACCTGCATCTGAATGCCAATACAATCAGGGAAATCGTGTATATGACGAATCACGTATAAAACACACACAAGGTGGGGGGAAAGCTTTACTCAGATAAACCTACAAATGATGAATTCTTTTGAAAGTCCAGCCCAAGTGCATTTGGAATATTAATAACACAATTAACAGCGCAGGGTGACGGTCATGAGAAATTACATATTAAGAAACATTACAAATTCAGGACTGATTCCTTCGGTTGTTGGAAATACTGCTGTCCAAAGGACAAATGGTCTTATTAATTTCTATTAACTCATTCATCAGGTTTTCCACAGCTTTTTTTTTTAAAGAGATTTCACAGGAGAACATTATCAGCCAAGGTATAGTGATGGAAGGTGGGGAAAGGCCATTAGTATAAAAGAAATGACATGACCGCTGGCCAACAGCAACCGTAGGTGTGTTATAATTAACAAGGGACAGGGCTGGGCTTTNGTGATGGAAGGTGGGGAAAGGCCGTTAGTATAAAAGAAATGACATGACCGCTGGCCAACAGCAACCGTAGGTGTGTTATAATTAACAAGGGACAGGGCTGGGCTTCATTGGAATTATTCTAATTTATGGTAATTATCCAATGACACAACACAGGGCTATCTTCACGGGTCTTTCGTGGCAGCAATAGGAGAAACGGGATTTTAGCAAAGCAGTGGGGAAGTTCGGGGAGCAGGAGCGAGACCATGCCAGTCAGCATCCCCTGCACATTTAAGGGGTGTGTGTGTTGTGTTGCGTTGAATGTGTGACTTTTCCCCATAAACCTTCTCGAGTGGTGAGCACAGGTCCCAGGCCATTGAATCAGTCCCTGCAGNCACATTTAAGGGGGGTGTGTGTTGTGTTGCGTTGAATGTGTGACTTTTCCCCATAAACCTTCTCGAGTGGTGAGCACAGGTCCCAGGCCATTGAATCAGTCCCTGCAGAAAGCAGCTCTTGCATGCAAAGGTCTTCGGAGTCCAAACACGGATCCCCCACAAAAGGCGCCCAAATCAGGTGGTCCTGTGGGGAAGGGAAGTGCTTCGTGGACGCACCTATGGAAGCTCTCGTTTCAAGACCAGGCACCCCCATTTGCGATCTCCCAAAATTTCAGTGAGTGCTGGCCTTGCTGTGGCGTCTCAGCCACCGTGAGTCATGGACATGCTACTACAGGAGGACAGGTGTGCTCCAAGCACAGCATGTGCTGTGTGTTCAATGGCACTTTTAACTTTGAGCGAGGACCCAGGGGGAAATCAGCACACTCTCCACGGTGTGCAGAGCTGTACCTTGCTGGGTGATTAAAAAAACTCAAAGCCTGTCTTCTGCGTGCTGGAGCAAGAGCTTTGAGCTTTTAATTGATGGGTGTAAATTGCCTAAACTATAATCGGAGTAAATAATCATAATTCATAGGCTATGTATTTTCTTACAGTTCTATCAAGTTTTAAGATCAAGAAAACTATTTGCAGCCTGGCTGGTATGGCTCAGTTGGTTGAGTGTCGCCCTGTGCACCGAAAGGTGGCTGGTTAGATTCCCGGGCAGGGCACATGCTCCGGTTGCAGGCTCGATGCCTGTAGGGGGAAGCTGATCCATGTTTCACTCTCACACACCAATGTTTCTCTCTCCCCCTCTCCCTTCCTCTCCCCTGGTGCAGGACTCAGCATCCCCATGGCCCTGGCAAGCCACAGAGAAGTGGGGTGTCAAGATGGGAAAGGACAGGACTAAGCTGACCCCATGGGAAACCAACCACACTATCTACACAGAGACCACACAAGACCCAAAGTATCAACCAGTTCACGGGCAACAGGCCAGCCCCACGCCTGCCAGAAGATCAAGGTTGCTTTCCCCATCTCTCCACCTGCCCCTGCCCCAGAGGGACCAGACCCAAGGGGAGGGGACAGAATGCCCCAGCCCTCACCCCACAGATGCAAGGGGCGGACAGAGTAAGGAGGGCCCACAGCGCCTCTCCACGGGAAGGAAGCATCTAAACTACACATGGACCGCAGCTCTGAGAGGGACGGTCCATGTCAAGAGCTGGAGGTGACCAGGAGGTTAGAGAAACTGCCCGAGCAGTGTCCCTAAGGAAGGAGGCTGCGCAGGGCACACTCGGGGGCAGCGATGGACAGAGACACATCTGAGGACTGAAGTCACCGGGGCAGCCGCTCGGCAAGGCACTGACCCAACGCCTGCGAAGGCAGAGCGAGGGACAGTTTGGGGAGGTGCCCGGCAGCTCATAAAGTGTCTCATGTGCTCCAGCTCCGTCAGCCACTGGCAAGGAGAACCGCGGGCTGTGAGCTGTCTCCTCCCTTTCCTGTGGGATGATCTGCACGGGAAATTTTTTTAAAACAGAAAAAGACCAGCGACCCTGCAGCCTTACACACTGTATCTCACACTGGTTGGAAACCCACTCGGAATCTCTGCGAAAATGCTCTTGTCCTCTGTGACCCTGAGTGTGAAGACAGGGAGGCCAGCGGTGACCTGGCTGTGCACAGGGACCCCCAGGCGGTGCCAGGGGGACGCCCCGGTTAACCTGGGTCGGCTCCCATTGCTGCGCTTCATCTCCGACCGAGAAAACAATTCCCCAGGAGACAGAGAGCGGGCGTGGGCTCACCCACGGGCAACCCTCACGCGCCTCTCGCGTGGGAACTGAGGGCCCCTTTGGGTCAAGCCTGCTTGGGAGGAAATCAGGTGAAGGAATCAACTGGCTGGCCCTATAAACCCACATGGTTGCAAGGCCAGGGGCCAATCTTGATTTTGGGAATTCGATCAAAGCAGCAAACGACTGGCCTGTCGTTTATTGATGTAGCTTTGATTATGTGGGGCCGTAATCGATGGAGTCATTCATCTGGGCGAGTGCTGTACCCACCCCGCCTCCACTGGGCACCTCTCGCATTTACCTCCAGGGAGAGCAGCTCACAGGTGTCCCCTCCTGTCCCGTCCCAGGGAGGCCATCTGAGCAGAGGGAGGCCAGGAGCGAGGACACTGCGAGAGGGGAGGGCCCAGGGCACAGTCAGAGCCCCAGGGGAGGGGCGGTAAGTCGGCTCCCACAGGTCGGATGGAGAGAGAAGTGGGGGCCCCATCACGGAGCCGCACAAGCAGAGTCCGGGGGGAGAGCGGAGAGAGCAGAGAATGTAAGAGGAACACACTGTTCTTTGTTCTTGCAAAACGGCAATGCCACTGGTGCAGCTGATGGAGCCAAATCCTTGATTCCGTTTGTCCTGCACACCTCACATCCAAACCTTCCTCGGTGTCTGTCAGCACAGCCACCAGGCTCAGCGGGGATCGTCCTCTGCTCCGGCTGCACCAGCCCCCAGCTGACCGTCACCTCCCCTTGGACTGTCTGGCAGACGTGCAACTCCCCAGGCCCGCTCCCGCCCGTCGGCGGCGTGACCTCCGAAAGACACCAGCAGGAAGTCCGCAAAAGCAGCGGGGTAAAACCGCCACCCCTTCCCTGGCCTGCGGCCCTGTCCAGCCCTTCTGCCTCCCCACCGTGGGACACTCTCCTGTTCTCTGCGCAGCGTCGGCCCTGGGGGTGCAGGCCTGGCTCTCGCTGCGCCCCAGCTCCCAGGCTGGGGAAGGGGCTCCGGTCCAGGTGGGGGTGTCAGCCCACTGTGGCCAGGAAAACAAAGTCCTGCCCAGTGACAGGTCAGGCAGGGGGGCCCCGGAGGATGCTGGGCTCTGGGACTGGCTTAGACCAAACCCCGGTTTCTGGCAGCTCATCACTAGAAGTCGGCCCCCCAGACAGCAAGCTCCTGATCCTTTGNGCTCTGGGACTTGCTTAGACCAAACCCCGGTTCTCTGGCAGCTCATCACTAGAAGTCGGCCCCCCAGACAGCAAGCTCCTGATCCTTTGTGTCACCTCCTGCTCAACCACACCACACGCCCCTGGACAGGAGGCCTCCGGTCTCTCTCCCCCCCGGCTCTGAGCATCTCCTCACTGCCCTGGGCCTCGGTTTCATCTGAGGCGAGGACTGGCCTCGCTTTGAAACTCCAGCAGGGGGACCCCTCCTGGGTGAGCTGCTGCCGGCTGTGTGAGGCTACGTGTCATGTCCAGGGCCTCATGACCGGAAGGTTCTAGAACGTAGGGAGGAAGCTGCCAGCCTCAGAGAAGGGGCACCGTCCACTTTGCTGGCGCCTGTGATTGCTTATTTCATGCTTGGCTTTATCTCAGTCAACTCAGAAACTCCTCCCTGGGGACCAGTGGACCAACATGACCGAAACCGGCAGGCTGCTCATCGGTAAACACGATGAAGCCTTTGCAAGTATGTACCGTTGTAAAAAAGCCCTTTGTGGTCTAAGCGTGGCTGCTCTTGCTCAACCGATGGGCAAATCCTGGCGTTGGTTCACTTTTTATCATTGTGGCGTTTTTCTGCCTCTGGAAAGTTCTGGCCTGTGGCTCCTGGTGTCACGCCCCCACCACAGGGAGGTTAAGTTTCGTTAAAGCCCAGGCAGCTTGGGACAAAGCTACAGAGCAGCGAGGGGCTCGTGGGAAATACACGCAGATGTAGCTTTAGTGGTCTTATCAGCCTTTTGCCTCCCGCTCCTTGGAAACTATAACCGCAAGTAACATTTCCCATCTGTGTTTCACTGACATCCTCTCATTTCTTGCAAGGGACAGGCCTGCCTCTTTCTCTCACGCTGACGGGACTGGAGCATTTTCCTTCAAATGCCCTCTAGGGCCTGTTAAAAGTCAAACTGAGGCACACGGGAAACTTCAAGTGTGTATCTGAGCAAACATCAATTTCGAGTTGGGCAGGAGCGCCCCACCCCACGGACAGGAGCTGAGGACCGGCTTCTATAGAGGGGACACGGAAGCAAAGCAGGGCAATGATCTGATTGGCTGTGGCTTCTCTGGGAAAGCCCAACGGGCTGTGATTGGTTGTTCCTGAGTTTCCTTTCCTCTAAGTTTGAATATTAGGTTTTGGCTGACTTCCGCAGGCTACCAGGGGGGTAGAGCCAGCCCGGCCCAGTGGCCACAGTCCTGTGTAATTCTGTTAACAGGCCCCTGGTAGATGGGGAAGGAGAAGGTGACCCACTCTGGGGCTCTGCAAGGCACGATGGAGTTTTACGTCCCTTCGGTGCCCTCTGTCCTGCCCTCCCCCCATCAGGGTGGAGCAGCAAACTAGCAGGGCATGAGGTCTTACGCTGAAGAGGCTTAACACTCTCAAGAGAAATGCTCATCTGCCCCCAGGGGTTCCCTGCTGCTGAGCCAGAGAATCTGGGAGTGGGGTGGCTGGGAAGGGCATGGATAAGCTTAAAGGAGAGGGGCCTTCGAGGCCTCTGAACCACCAAAAACCACCTGAGGGAATCTTCTGGATTCTAAACATATCCAGGAAGAACACTGGTTTCTGCCTGTTTTCCCTGGTGAGGGACTGGTCTGTCCAATCGTCCGGCATAACAGGAATGCCCGTAGGTAGCTGGAGCAATCTCATCAAGTCACTGCCAGTTCACTGAAACACAACCAAAATCAAAGGCGCTTTGATTCTTGAACCAATCAGAGCGGATTTCCCCGGCACAAACTGAGTTCATTAGGTATGAAGTATGGATAATTCATAATTTAATATGGACATGAGGCATGGAATGTTACTAATCAGATGACAAGAGCTTCAAATAAGACTCTTAAGAGACCAATGAACATGCTCTAACAGTTGACCAAGAAAAGCAAGCAAGGGAAGCTAATCCAAGGATCAAGTCCCCTGTACAGCTTCTTTTGCTAAGTGTCAAGAACATCTGCAAGCTATAGGCAGGGGCTCCCATGGAAATCTGTTCCGCGGAGGAGCCGTACATGTGTTCTGAGAGCTTTAATACCGAGAAAAACCACCAGGTACATGTGGGGGGTGTCATCAAGCACAGTCTCGCTCAAATGCCTTTAAGAGTAATGATTGTATTAATATGTCTTCACCACTAATTATGAGAAAACTAGAGAGTGTGGCACCTAGATCTATATAAATCTCACAGGAACTTAAGTTGAACCCATCAGACAGCTGAAGTTACAGGGCCACCACCTAACCCCAATTCTAAGGAAGGATGGGCGCCTCCATGGAAAGGCATGAGGTCCTGCTCAGCTGGGAAGAGATACAGTCAGACACCAGCTCGAGCGGAGAAGGTAGACACTATGCGAGCCCATACAGGTAATTTAGCAAAGAGTGGAAGTGGTAAAAAAGTACCAAAGGAAAATGCTGGAAATAAAAAGTACAGTCACAGAAAAGGAAGCAAGTCTTTGACAGGCCCATCAATAGACTGGACCCAGACTGAGGGGTTTACTGTTGGAATGCAAGGCTGGTTGACCCTTCATGGCCGAGTGGGGTTTACCGCTGGAATACAAGGCTGGCTCACCCTTCAAAAGTCAACCCACGTGATTCACCAGATTAGCAGAAAAATATATGCCTATCTGAGCAGATGCAGAAAAATTATTGGACAAATCCAATATTCATTCATAATAAAAACTCCCAGAAAACTAGGAATAAGAGTGTAGCACTCGGATCTATCTATACGAGTCTCCAGAACTGCGGGATCCCCCAGGGGGTGCTCAGATTTTATTTTTAGGAGGTAGTGGCTGCACTGCAATTACAATTACCTATTGTCTAGTTCTGTTTTTCCAATGTGGGAAGGTGCCCAGGTTGCGGAGGTGACTCAGGAGTTATTGGACTGAGAGCTCAGAGTGAGCAAGGCTGCCCACGTCCCCACCCTAGGAGGCTGGAAGGGCACTTGGGCCTCAGCACTGACCCTAAGCAGGCAGCAGGCCCAGGGTGCTCAGAGACAAACCACGGCTGTGGGACATCAGGAAACACGCTGCACAGAGAATGGAGCCTTGAGTGTGCACCCTGAATCCTATGACCTGCTGATCTGTCATCCTGGTGGGCTGCTGGGGCCACCGAACTTGGACCATCCCTCCCTGCGAAACAAGGCAAGTGCTGGGGAGCTGGCCCACAGTCACCATGAACTCTAGGCACATCCTCTCTCTCTGTACGTCACTGCCTGCTTGCCAGCTGGTTTCACAGTGTGCTGGAGTGAACAGGGGGCTCGCCCAGACTGAGGGGTCACCCTTGCCAGCATTCTAAGTCACACCTATGAGGTACCAATCACAGGCACCCACTCACAGAGGGCAACACTTTCCTCCTCTCTCCCAAGACTCCAGGGAGGCTCTCTGGGGTCTCCAGTCCCCCGTACACTGTGTCCCCTACACACACACAACAGAGCTCCCAATATACAGTGATTACAACTATACCACCAGTCAAGATGTTCAGTGACCACGGCCACACCTTTTTTTATTTTTTGATCCTAGAGAAAAGAAGGGAGGGAAGGAAGGAGAGAGAGGGAGAGAGACACATTGATGTGTGAGAGAAACATCGATCGGTTGCTTCCTGCATGCGCCCTAACTGGAGATCGAACTCACAACCTTTTGGTGTACAGGACAACACCCCAACCAACTGAGCCACCTGGCCGGGGCACAGCCACATCTTTTTAAAAAAGTTTAACGCACTTTCATTTAGGGAAAATAGAAGTATTAGGTCCACGGTTCATATGCATTTTTAAGCAATTTTGACTTAAGAGAGCAAAAAAACCAAAACACTTGTAGAAAGAAAAAGAAAGAAATAATATAAACAACTTTCTATGTTATTTCTTTAAAAAGGCAAAATCCATAGCCGTCTGCTCCCTGATGGAGGGACAGCAAAAACGTTAGGGAAGCAGGAGAACCAGCCATATCCACATCAGTAAAGACTTTCCCATCCATCCATAATGCCACCTTCACATGTGTCAGAGGCAGGAGAGAGAAATGGTGAAAATGGGAAACGTGTGGAAATCTATAATCCTTTAAAAATGTCCCCTGGAGAGAGATTTCCTCTGGCATCTCACCGGCCTCGGTGGATTACGCACTGAGAGGAACCTGGGCGATGCCTGGATACAATTGTGCATGCACCCCATGAGGTGCGTGGGGTGCATGCCCGGCGGGCAGGGCCCATGCTGTCACCTTGAGCGTCAGCCGCACGGCGTTGCAGTCCTCCTGCAGCGGGTTCAGCTTCAGCGTCTCCCCCAGGTTGCTGCAGCCACTTGACTGGTGCTGCGTTTCACAGCAGACACACACCTCGACACTGTCAAACTTAATCTGGACAGGAACACAGACAGAGCTCACAATTAAAACGGCATTCTGCCCTGAGCTGCACAGTCACAAACACGTCCGAACGCCTCGGCTCCAAGCATCCTGCTTAAGTAACGAAGCCAAAATGGGTTTTTGCTGTTGGCAAAAGCCATGGAAGACATCAGGAGGAATTACTCCAAATTCCTGTTTTGAAAGCAACTGATACAAAAGAAAATATAAATTTGAAGAAACCTACGCTAGACAGTTATAGAAAATTACACGATTTGCAGAGAGAGATAAAAGTAAGTGAATGGCAAATTCCTCCTAGTGAGGTGAGCACGGAGACATGCCATCATAGCTCTGTACTTGGCACATTCTGTTCCCAAGCTCAGCAATTCCTATCTCACTTTACTGCCTATCGAACTTCTATTCACCCGTCAAGACCCAACTCCTGCTCCATCCTCGAGGCTCTGTCTGGTGGTCCCTTTCCGGAGCTTCTAGTCTGAGCCCCCCTCTGCAGGACACTCATTCTCAGGCCTGGGTGAATCCTTCACACCCATCCCCCAACAGCTCACACAGTCTTACAGAAAAGTGAAATAAGGAGGGGACAGCCTGTCCACAGCCACATTTTCTTCTACTGTAAATCTCTGGAGAGTTTATCTTTGGCCCACTCTGTGCTTCTTTAATTCAATCTTCTCACGTGCCCCAAATGGCCTCCACAAAAGCTCTGCAAGTTGCAGTCAGACGTGCTCCATGGGTTTCCTCCGGGTTTCCAGGCTTTTAAAAATGCCTGAAACGTGCCTTTTCTGTCCATGGTTTTTAATTTTCCAAGGCGTTTTTATTTATTCAGTATTTGTTGAATGCTTACATCTCATGGGCATGGTGAAAACTGTCCTGGGGAGGTGTGGGGGCTGCCTTCGGGGAGCACGCAGGATACGGGAAGGTGTAGCTGGATAAAAGAGCAGCCTCCTGCAGAGGGGGTCTCAGAGGAGTAGCAAACAGCTCCGGGAAGGGAACACCAGACAAAGCCTCAAGGATGGAGCAGGAGTTGGGTCTTGACGTATGAATAGGAGTTCGAAAAGAAGCCACAACAAATGCACCCAATGGCTCTGTATTTTCTTCTCCCGTGGAACCAGATTAGCACACAAGGGTCAGGCTCCACTTCCCCTAGTTCAAATCCCACCCTGAGCATGGTGAGGGAAAGGGTGGGTCAGCTGGCTTTGTGGCCTCTGGACTTGGGAGCATGGCCCTTGGCTCAGTCGGTCCCTTTGCTCTTGCCACCTGGACAAAGTCTGTCCTGATCTAGTCTATTTTCCCACAGCGCAAAAATCCTGCAAGGGATTATCTCATATGGTCACGTCTAGACCTTGGAATTAACAAATAAAGGAGCTAATGTTAACGGAGAGACTGGGCTTGGCTGCAGAGCGCAGTTTATCACGTCAAATGACCCTTCAGTGACCCAGGGGAAGAGACACCAAAATAAATCTCTTCCATCAACATTTCACTGAATTTGTGATTAATTCTAAGGAAAATTCTGGAAACCTCCTGATGAGTTCTCTGACCTCGACATCTTGGCGTGAGCAAGGCTGACAGATTTATTTTTGGAGTGGCCCTCGGCGTTCCATGTCATCAGGAACGACAGTGCAGAGCTTTGCAAATGAAGTCGCTGTAATCTGTCATGAATCTCTTTGGAGCATTTAACAGCCAGCCTGCCCTCTTATTTATGGCCTATCAGCCTGTCTAGGAGTAAAAAGGGCTGAGACAACAGAAAGAGGGGGTGTCCCCGAGTTTCTAAAAAACATACAAATGAGACTGATATGTGACCTTGGGGTACTCCCCACGGGAAGGCAGCGGGAGGCTGAGCCG